TCGCATGTCTAGCCACAGCGCTGTAATGTTTATCCAGGTAACCATCAATCCTCATGTAGGATAAACTCGTTGACTTCCGGCGAGTGTCGCTTGATGGTCGGTAGTTTTCTTATCTCGTCCCACTGCTGGTAAGCTCGCATGCCTTGGCTGAACAGCTGGTTGGGAACGCCCTCGACGGTCACTTCAACTTTCGTGATCTCGGGATTCCAAGTGAGTTCGCTGTCTCTTCGAAACGGCTCGTATTCCGCCACGGGAGTGATCAAGATGCCTTTCATCGATAGAGCCGGCACGTTCAGGTTGATGTTCCACAACGTGTCGCTCTTGTCCTTGACGATCGTCCGGTGCCGCAGCACGCGATCGTACAGGATGGACAGCTTTCCTGAGTACTGGGTGCGAATCTGCCGGGCCAGTTCGGAGCTCGTGACCATGTCGAATTCCAGAGAGATGTTGTCAACGACGTAGCTGGCCCCGGTGCCGTCCAGTGTGAATATTACTTTGCTGTAGCCGTTGAACGTGAGTTCGTATTCCAACCGGTCACCCAGCGCGGCCCTGTAAAACGGCATGTGGCCCTCGAGCAGCTCGAAGTCGAGTGGTATGCAAAACCGGTTCCCGTATGCCTTGGTGATGGCTTTGTCCCCTGCCTCTATCCCATCTAGCTTGTCTTGCGTGAAAGCTCATCCCACATGCATGTCGTTCGCACGGCAGAACGAATTTGCACGGCCCAACAAATTCCTTGATACAACATGTCAGCGCGTTCCTTCTCGATTCTCCAGAGGTCCGTGTAACAGTAAAACACGTCACTGTCGTCGATGCTCAGCACCTCGTTCCCGCGTATTTTGATGGTGGTTTTCTTGACAATGGCACGACCCAGGTTGTGCACGATCTTGCGTTTGTCGTTCGTGGACTCCAAAGTGATGTGCAAAGCCAGTCGAGCTGTGCCGGGGACGATGACGTCGTTCGTGGCCAGGTTGGGGAATCGAACCAGCAGCGTTTGGTTTTGATCAATCGTGCTCGGATTGTTGGTGATGGTCACCGACTGACGCATGGCTTTAACACCCAGGGGTTCTCTCGATCTTTGGAAAGGATCTAGCTTTCGTCCGTATTGCTACATTGTTTATATTGAAACTATGTATATTATAAGTTTAATATAACAAAAATGGCTGATGATATTCCCACGGAAGATTTCGACGTACACCAGCTGAACGACCATGATGCAGCAGCCATGGACACCTTGTTCATGGGGGACACCGTGGGCAACAAGCTTTTAACGCAGGCTGTAGATGAGTATTACGATGCTTTAAAGCGCGATAAAAATTACGCCGAAACGTTGGGACGCTGCGATTGAAAGCTCATCCGGAGGTCGATCTCATGAACAAACACACGAGAAAAACTCTCGCCCTGTCGACGCTAGCCAGTCGCCGTGGCGGTAGTCAAATGATCCGCGAACGAACTAAACCTGCGAGATTACGGCGGCGCACGACCCAAACAACTTCCGCGAAGGTCGTCCAAGATCTGCAAAACGTAAGGACCAAACTTGGTGGTGCCAGCGCTGCCGATCTGAGAGAAATGCCCAAGGGTGCCAAAGAAGCGTCGGACGAAATCGATAAAATATTGGTCACGTACTGGAACGAACCCTTGCCCGGTTTCGAATTTCCTCTTAGGGAACTTCGAGGTCGAGATGAAGCCTTGAAAAACTAGTGCGGAGAACTCGTGAACAACATGGGTAAACTGAATGAAATCGACGAGCACATCGCTCGCGAGAAAAGAAACCTCAGGATTGTGGATGACGACGAGGCGATGATAAACATCATCGAGAAAAGATTGCACGACCTGGAAGACGAGAGACGGACCAGATTGGAAGCCGCTTCCTCCAACCGGGAAGCCCTACGATCACAAATCAGTCGCGTGCGCGAAACCATCAACCAAGTCTTGAACGAGGACACCACATTGGCCAACAGGATCCGAATTCTGTTCCGGGAACAAGGAATCACCATCGCCAGTGTTCTCACGGCTTTGGGCTTCATCATATCGACTCTGGTGGTATCACTGACGGGCAGTGGTGGTACACCACCAACACCAACAAGCCCATCATCAGGCGACGACGTCAGAGACTGGATAAAAAAACATTTGAAATCTCTCGGCGAAGCCCTGGCTAAACTGGCATCTTGGGCAGCATCGTTTCCTGGTTGTTAGGCTTCTTGTCGAAAACCGTCACGTGGCACGGTCAAAACCTGTGGGCTTTCATCGTCGCCGTGGTGGGTCTGGTGTAAGTCGCGGCTAAGGAATTTTTAACCAAATGAGGCACAGACCGATCGCGATCCCCCTGACCACCAGCGCCGTTTTGCAATTGACGTGCTGCTGATTGTTTGCCTGCACATGCTGAGGCAGCTGCTGCTGTTGTTGGCGTGGTGGTGCTACTTCTACTTCCGGTGTCGGTGCCACGATGCCCGTTTCATACTGCAACACGACTCGACTCGTGTTATTGACATCCTTTTGACACTTTTGATCGGCGATGACGATTTCGTTGTTGTAGCCCACCACTCTGTCCATCCTCATTCGCATGTCGCTCGGAGCCATGTACAGTCTCGGGCCGAACACGTGGTTGACTTTCAACCGGGTTTATTCTAGCGCTTTTTGATAGCTGTTTCTGCGCGTCGTAAGCTGTCCCTTCACGACCCACGATGCTGGAACGCATTTGCGTCTGAGCACCCAGCACGGCCCACACGTACGTACGTTCGAATCGAATCGTTCAATCTGACAACACCAGCAAGAGTACACCCTTTCGAAGTGTCCAGCATGAACATTTTCCAATCATCCGCAGGTCCTGCTCGAACCTCCAAACGCGGTAATCCTTGTTGCTGTTGTTGAAAGACATGTAATCGTCTTGATGTAATGATACGACTTGTAACCCCAATCTTTCACTAGCTGTTTGCTGGCTTCCACGAGAGACATGTTGTGAATGATGGGAATGCCCAAACCGTGGTTCGGACCCGGCAAACACTAATCATCTGATCTAGTTCTAATTCATCGCAAACGCGTTCGTACGCACATCGATCGTATGATTGTTTATGGCATTCCATGCCTTGTCTTGCGGAATCGGGGCACTGATTTCTTTCAGGATACGTCTGATCTGGTAGTACACGTGAAATGAGAATACAGACCGACTCAGCGCATCACGACAAGTGTCGTTCAACGTCACGCCGCACCAAGTGGTTGCGCACCACACGGCGAAATTGAATTGATTCTGCCACAACTGCATCGGGTTGATAAACCAAGTGTGTACCGTTTTCACATTCGTGACTGAAAACCCGTTATTTGTAAACACGTCGATGAACCGAACTATGAAATGTAAACCATCCTTTGCATCGACCACAAGACTCGCTTGCATGAGATTGGTAGCACTTTTAGAAGAAAACACTCCCGGTTTGTACATATTTGAATTGTTATATAGTATACATATCTACTTTTTCAATATGTACATGACGCTTCCGGGAATCATGAGTGGCGAGTCCGTTCAACTGTTTATAAATAAGAGGCGGTCGGGTAGCCTAGTGGTTAAAGCGTTGGCTCGTCACGCCGAATACCCGGGTTCGATTCCCCACATGGGCACAATGTGTTAAGCCCATTTCTGGTGTCCCCCGCCGTGATATTGCTGGAATATTGCTAAAAGCGGCGTAAAACTAAACTCAGTCAGTCAGTCAGTTTATAAATAACGCCCGCAACCAAATATTGGAAGGCTACTACTGCGTGTGCACGCTCAAAGAAGAAATCTTCAAACCCATGGGAGCCGAACTCAAAATAAACGACTCTAACAGCACGGTCATGTTAGCCATCAACGGAAAAAACACTTTGAGTCGGCTGTTGGCTAAAACGGTCGGGTTGACGTCAAACAACATACCACCGAAAACCACCGAGACCGGCACAAAATTACCCGACCTCGTTCTGTATCGCGAACTGTGCATTCATCTCGATCAGCTGAGCACGACCGACAACATTCAAGGCGAACGACCTTCCACACTGCTGAGAGCTGTGCCGGTGAAAACTGAAAAGTACAACGACGACAGAACCGAATTGTTTTCGTCGCGGCATTACAAGAAATTAATCCGAGGCAACATCACGGAATTGAAAATATCGGTTTTAGACATTAAACATGATCCCATAAGTATAGGATATCTCAGCGCGACGCTGCACATACGACAATGACGAAGTCTCATGGTCCAAGAACACGCGTTAGAAAATGCGCGAACATAGCGATCTCCGACCTCGGGGACACGCATGGATTCGACGGCAAACTTTATGCCTTGCAACTGAAAAACAGCATTTACAAACACGTCGATTTGCCACCCTCTACTGCCGCTGGTGGTGGTGGCCACGACCTAGGCGATTTCTTCGATACTGAAGGAGCGGCCAACAACACCCGGTACGACCTGATATGCAATGACGAGGACAAATGGACGATAACCCCAGCCTTCCGCGGCAGGGTGATCCACCTGGACGACGTCGAGACCACGGCCATCTCCAGAAACACGCAGTCTCATCTTCAACGACGACAACAAATGAGTATTAGTGCCATCCCAAATCGACTGGAATCTCAACATCACCCTCGACTCTCCCCACGTTTTCACGGACAACAAAGATCACTACCTGATGAAAGTCATGAACAACGGAACGCTGCTTGTGGCTTACGTCCCTACGCAAAGACGCAGCGTGAATGTCAGCACGTTGAGGCAAAGAGTAGCCCACATGCTGTCTAGCAAACCCGGGAGGCAAAACGTGGGATTGCAGATGGTGTCGGAATTCGACAGTAACAAGCTGTAACTACGGAAACATATAAGAGACTTTTGTTTTGATGAATATGACCAAAGATTAGACAGCCTAAATAGTCAAACAACACACACACCTTGTAGTCCCACCATACCTTTTACACCTTGGTCCTGCACACTCACACCTTAAACGAAATCTAGCTCAATACTAGGCCAACATATGAACCAGTGACCCACCTGGAGAGCTTTGATTGTGTCCATGTAGCCTTGTTCTCGATGTTGGAGGTCAGCACTGACACTGTCGTCTGCTCCTGTGGACTCCAGCTGATGGATGCTGGCACAGTAAGCTTCACTGGCTTTCCCACACACCTAGAACACATCATATGTCACTTGAAAACTTGTCATTCCTATGTCTGTTTTTACGTCTGCTCCAGTCGTGTGACACTTTTGAAAGATCATAGTCCAACAAATATCATTTGAACCCAAATGATATAGTGCCACCCCGCCACTGCCAAAATAAATACCACCTCTATAAACAACCCTTAATATTTGTCCTAATCAACCCATCCTGAATGTGCAGAAATTGAATTCAGAATGCTATTTGGGGTGTTTCTTTGAATGGCAGGTCAAACACTACATCATGAATATACTAGGCTACTTTTGAGGTGTTTTGAATCTGTTCACAAATTGACAGAGAGAGAGAAAAAAATCTATTCTTTTAGTGCTAACTTTATTATTTGTATCAGAGAAGGATGTAGATTAATTTCTTTAAAACAAACATTGGCAAAATAGAATGACTTCTTTGAGTGGCATTTGGAAGCTGGTATGAGTGAGTGAGTGAGTTAATCTTTAACGTCACATCGGCAATATCTCAGCCATATCGTGATGAAGGAAGCTGGTACAACTTATTATGGACAGACAATCAAAAAGTTGTCTATCCATAAAAAATTGGTCCTGTTCAGAATAGAATAGACAAAACACATTCAATTCACATGGTCGACTTCTGAATTTGTCACATCATTACCTGAGGAAACATTGTGGCAAAGAAAGACTGACATCTATTAACATTTAAAAAATATTTGTACAGGGCTTATCCATAATCCATAATTTGTGACATAAAGGTTATCATCATCAGAAACATATTAGGCAACATCATCCAGTTTTTATTATATCGTCTGGCTCCAGCTCTATTAAACAGAAATGTCCAGCTACATTATCAGCACACAGATACTTGCCAGGCTGCCTGCATATACCAACACGATTGTTTTCTCAGAGAACAATTTTACACTCATCAGGGAAGATGACTCTATTTCAGTATTTACAGTTTGATACCTCTGTCCTTTCAGACATGCCACACAATTTCCTGAATCCTGATTTTCTTTCTGACCACTAGCTTGTGATTTTTGTTGTCAATGTCAATAATTTTCTCCTAATACAACCCAAACTCGGTGGCTTTTAAATTCTGCAGCAATATTATCTAAACACGAAAGTATGTCATTTATTACTAGTTTTAAAAGTTGCTGTGTTCTATTCCCAAGTCCTTCTCAATTTCAGAACAATTTTGTCCATCTTGGTATTTGTCTATGACTTTCTTTTCTGACTTTGGCAGAGTGAGTCACTTGTAATTTGTTGCTGGAAGGACCCTTGGAAAGTAGTGATGTAGACGACAACAAATTGATGACAATTAGATGACGATGTAATTATTGAGCAGTGTCAATCTTATTACTGAGCATTGAAATGACAACATCATCGCCATTCCAAATTGTCTGTAATCATATGGTCACTCACTGTTTCTGAATGTTTATCTTAATAAACATTTATCTTAATAAACATTTTCCATGTGAAAATAAGTAAATTGATAAACTAATGCTGACTATTCCAGGAGTTATCACTTGTGTAATATGAAGATCTCCGATGATACTCTTTTCCTGATCACTGACACTCATCGTCTTGATGTCAGAACAAAATTCTGTGCTAACCTACCTTTTTACTTAAATACAGTCAGGCCCCGTTAGTCTGGACCCTGATAATCTGATTCCCACGATATCTGAACGGTACTTAGCTGTAACCAATCTTGTTTACTATGTAAACTCATTGACTGTTGATTCATTAATCCAGAGCTTCACTCTCCGGATCCGGACGTTAATAAGCGGTAACGGATTAGCTAATTACACTTGGTTTTGCATCATTAATCTGGCAGTACATCAAAAAGGTTTGGATAATCCCCTTACCTCATGAGCACCATTGATTAGCACTGATCATCATCAGTAAACTTCAATGGTAATTGATAAGCGAGGTGACACTTCTGAGTTGAACATGTCGTTAGTTTGTGATTTTAATCAATTAATAGGTCTCACTTGTGCAAACACAACTGGCACCATCAATATTAAGCCATTTGTCATCGCCAAATCCCAGATGTTTTGGAAGAGACTTTAACCCAGAAATGTATGTTCGCTATCGGTTCAGCAACAAAACATGGATGACATCAGACATGTTTTGTGACTGGCTGAGATCTTTTGACAGACAGATGCAATCACATGGTCGACACGTGATCTTACTTTGTGACAACGCTACCAAGTGTGCCAATGTCAATTGACCAGTGTGAAATTTCATTTTCTGCCTCCCTACACCACTGTCATTGGCGATTTCTTTAAACCCAGTGAGTTTCTGACTTTTGATTGTTATACAAACTGTAATAAAGTCATTTGATAAGGTATCTTCCCATAAGACAGACCTCCCAAAAGACAGACCGCTTAAAACAACACATTTTGTGGTTGGTTGCATAAGGCTTAATGAAGCTGTACCCTTGATAATAATGGTATGTGCCCACATAAAAGAGACAACATTAGGTATTAACTATAGTCTTATCAATTCATGTTATGAATTATGATTTTTAAATTAAGACATATTGCATCAACAGTCAACACATATGTACATCAACATCTATGTGTCAGATCACATTTACTTGTGAATATTATCAAAAACAATAATTTATATATACATGTACCTATCAAACATATGAGACCAAGCACCATATTATTTTACATCACATGTCAGGTAAGAGCACAGATAACACTTATTAGAAAGTCACTTGAACATCATCAGTTTCTCCTGTTCACCTTGCTCTTGGCATACAGGTAGCCATCTAGAAGGGTGATCATATTAGCTGAAACAAGTGATGGATTGCAAAAAACTTTGAATGTGTTTGACCAGTATTGTAAAGAATGGAAACATAGTGTGAATTTAGATGTCTGTGATGAACTTCACTTTTTATTATACTATCCAGCACTTAATGCCCTCAGAAATCAATTTCTTCCCCAATATTTCTGTAAACATTGTGCTATTGAAAATTTGTTTATCTTATGAAATGTGATTATTCACCACATAACTCTAAAGTATCTGTATCAATATGCTGTATGTACTGTGTCACTATAAGTGTTTTATTAGAATAATATTTCGGTTCTATTCTGTTCTGTTCAGTAAAAGGCTCAGTAATATGTTTTGAGAAGAGCACAGGAGATAGGAGTGTGCTGTTACTATACACTGTAGTGACTCTGGGTCAGCTCATTAATTAAATAGGGGTGGACAGCATGGCTTAGCTAATTAGTGTACTCCCTGAGTCTGTCTTTTGGAAGGTCTGTCGTTTGGGAGGTCTGCATACATTCTTATGTTCTTGTCTCAATATGTCAAAGGGAAGTAACTCTACTGTAGTGGTGTAGATAATGGTTCGTTTCAGTAGTCTGTACGTTTCATTATCTGAACGTTTTTGATGAAAAACGGAAGTGTTCGGATTAACACGGCCTGACTGTATATATTTTTATTCACTTTATTCCAAGAGTTAAAAAAAAAATGCTCAAATTACTGAACAAATCAAACTAGGATGATGTACATCTGTCCACTATCCTAGTTCTCAAACTCAAATTTAAGCTTAAACTGCAAGGTTCATGTGCCTTATTTATTTCAAGATTCTGTACAAAGTTAATGTGACCATGGAATTAACATCCTGTTTGTGTCATATATATTTGTTTGTTGTTTAACTCCATATCCCAGATATGTGAGGTGAGGTGAAATTGGGTTTAACGTCGTGCTTGAGAATATTTCGCTCATATGACGACGTGTATGCGTGTGTATGTGTATGTGCGGCTGCTTGTACTAGCCCAGACTGAAGCTGGTTTTATAGTGCTAGCCCACTGAGATACCATGCCACAGTGAAGCATGAATATCCCACTCAGACACATTATACTGACTCCGAGCCGACCAGTCCTTGTTGTGCCCATTAATGCCGAGCTCCAGGCAGGGACCAACAAGTACCATATTTTAACGTCTTTTGGTATGACTCGTCCGGGGATCGAACCCGCGACCTTCCGCTCTCCGGGCGGACGCTCTAACCACTACACCACGGAGGCGGTCCCCAGATATATGAAATAGTCGAGTCAGGAATTGAGAATTCAGTGATCAGTTTTGTGAACAGCGAACCACATTGTCAAGGTACGATGACATTAATCAAGTCATAGAACCTAACCGCCCGATTCATCCAGTTGCCTCTTATGATCATCACTTTAACTGGGGATGTATTCTAACCCGGATCACCAGGCAGGTGTAAGAAATATTTCTGAATATATGTTGGAAAATGAAATTAAGGATATTGGAAGAATCTCAACCATACATCTTTCTTGCCAATTAAAGAATACCTGCTCTAAAACTACGTAAAGGTTCGGAACTTGAATCAACTCATGTTGAGATATACAGCTCAAAACAATCAAAGATCACCAAAGGTTTGAAAGGTTGTGTGTTTTCCTACAAGCCAAGAAAATGTAATTTTTAGTAAAATTGATATTTTATACTTATCCTGACTCATGCTTATTGGCTTTCTCTTCCTTCCATGCGAATGGTAGTGGAACACTTAGAATCCCTTGTAGTTCCCTGAAGAGGACGTAAAAGTTCTCTCACCCACGAGTTGCCTCCCTTTTCCCGCACAAACAGTCATGTGACCTGCCATGCTTGTCACTCTCTCCTGGGAGGCTGGGAGGGCTTGACATCATGAGTCAAGATAAGTATAAATATCAATTTTACTATAAAAATTACATATTTTTCCTTATCCTGACTCATGCTCATTCGCTTCCAGAATCCGATGGATTGGAGGTGGGTCAAGCCACTTCGTGGATTCATCAGCTGTTCTTAGATACGTCCTGTATTCCCCCCATGGGAACTGTGTAACGGTACTTTCTGGATACTGTTCTTCTAACTTCCGCTGTCAACTCGGGATACCACATCTTGTTATACTGCTCTAAGACAAGTGAATCTTTTTAGATTCATGTGGATTTTAGATATACTAGTATCTTCTTCTAACTAGTTATCTATAAACAACCCATAGATTATTTTAATATCATTACCATAAATGAGTTACGGCCCCTTATCGTACAGGTAAGATCGTTACCCGTACAGAGTCTTAATCACTCATGCTAGTCTAGTGTAGACGGTGCGAATGGACTCTCAACCAAAACTCTCCAGAGTGAAGGTTATGAACAAGTCAACGTGATAAAGGGTGAGATTCCCAACTCAGCGCCTTTGTGGAACCGTTAGTTGTAGTGCTACAAGAAGTGGCCCAAACTGGGGAATGCCGGAAGCATCCTCGGCGGTGATGTCTCTGAGGTAGAGGTTGCCAAACTCCGTGTCCGACTTTCAAAAGCAGCTCTCCATTATAGCTCATATCTAGCAGCTTCCGTGCAGAGCAAGTGTGGACGCCAGTGCTCTGACTTTGTATGGGTTGGAAACTCTTGGAGGTTCTAGTCCTGCTGCTTTGTCAGCTCACATCCAAATAATATTGTTGTCTTTGAGACTTCTACGGTCGTTCTGCTGACAACGGAGAGATGACTGTTTCTGCAATCGTGGCTTGAATCTTGACTCATCGATCTGCCGGTAATATGATGCCATTCTGATTGACAACAAATCTTGCTAACTGCAATGCTTCCGCCAGAATCCAACACAGCACAACGCTTGTTGCTGTCGAGGCGCTCCAATCAGCTGATTACTCATGTAAAACAGATGATTTTCAATGATGCGTCATTCTTCGTCTTCAAATCGCCAAAGATTTATATTGAAAGCAAGCTGACATCGATGTGAAGTCTATTTATAGTTGACTGGTTGCCGCGAACAGAAACCATCTGTCACTTGCTACTGCAAGCCTCCAGATAAACAATGTTTAATCTGCTGTCAGAAGAAGACCTCTATGCATCCCATGGAGATGATGGAACCACGTTGCACACTGCTATCTAGACTGTTGATGAAGTCTTTCCACGTTGGAAGGGTTGTTTACAATTGTAGACGACTTCCTGGTATGTGAACTGCGACCGCCTTCAGCGCAGGGCGTTGTCTCTCATGGACCAATCAGATTCCAGATATGTGACCTCACCAGTGTTGCAGCAAATTGCTCATCATGAAATCTTGTGCAGTCGTTGGTTCCTTCGTCATCGAACACTCGGTCTTGTCCGTAACCTCGCTATTCGGCTTGCCCCGGAATAACACGAGTGAACACAGGTGTTGTTGGTTGAGCAAAAGCGCGCGAAATTATTTGCCGCTTAGTGCTTAGTCCCGCTGGCAGTTGCATCTCTATGCTTCAACTTCTTATTCTTCACTGAAGACAATGCAGTCATCATCTTGTATAGATGTTCTGATGAGGTTCCCACGCTTCCTCAACGTTGTTACTGGTTGTCAGTAATAATCGGCTAAATGAAGCGTTTTACAATATTCTTGCACGTCCCAATTGCGTTGTAATACACAAGTAGGTTACTGTAGCATTGATAACTTCCCTCCACATTGATTTTAGAGTCGAAACATTCATCAAATTGAATGTTAATCTAATAACTTTGGGACGGATGCGATATCTTGATGAGGAACTGCGATGACGCCAATCCTAGGCTGGCGTCGACTGTCAGAATGTTCCCTTAATCTCTTGTAAACTGCGCAGGCACAATGTCAAATGGAGAAAATCTGAATGTAGCTGCATTCGTGCAAAGTTGACAACATATTCTTCATGCAGGTTAACTTGTGTAGCCAGTCAGGCATCTACGAACATTCCATTCACAACTGCATGCATGATGGAGATTCATCTTTGGTGCTTTCTCGAAAGTTGTCTGACATCGTTGTAACTTGCTTCATTAACACGCCTGGGACGAAGTTCTGCGATGTGGGTTGAACTTGATAAAATGCGGTGTACGCGTTCATGAACGCTGAGGCATTGTCTTCATCCCTGATGACAGACGTCTGCGTTGCCGGTGGTTGATCATCAAAGAGCTGGGTAGATGTCGTAAGTTCTCATAACTGCAGGGGAAGATCGTCTCACCGATGAAATAGCGTGTGTGAACGTAATCGTTGGTCTTAAAATCTAGATGAATGTCTACTTCGCCGGAAGGTACGATGTCTTCCTTAACCGATCTGAACTCCGGTTCGATGGGCGGGATCGTGAGAGAGTCGAAATCCTCATTCAACATCTTGTACGTGAGTACTTCATTCGACTCTTTGGATGGAGACGCTAAGTCCAGACCACTTGTGATCCAGGATGTAACTTCCGAATCCGAAAGGATGCCATCACTTTCTTCATCTGTTCTATGAGTCGATTCTCACTCTGATGAACTGTGTCTTCGCGAGTGCATTTGCGAATACTCCCTTCGTGAATCTTCCTTTTGTGAAGCTTCCTTTTGTGAACCTTCCTTCCGCAAATCTTCCTTTCGCAAATCTTTCTCCTGTAGATCTGAGGGTTTGCGAACCCTGTAGATGTCTGCATTGCTGGAATCTGCCTGTTGATCTGAGTGTTTGCGAACCCTGTAGCTGTCTGCGTTGCTGATATTTCTCTGTGTTGTTGTCGGTTTGCTGACGTGACTTCATAGTCTCTTGTAGACTCAGGGACATTCGCCGAACCTCTTGTAGACTCAGGGACGTTCGTTCGCCGAACCTCTTGTAGACTCAGGGACGTTCGCCGAACCTCTTGTAGACTCAGGGACGTTCGCTGAACCTCTTGTAGACTCAATGACTCAACTTACTCGACTATGTAACGTACTCGGGAAACACCTGAATTCAGCAGTAGTTAACAACATACGGTTACCGGTATTATCACCAGTGACTTGAGGTGACTTCCTCTCCTGGTCTATCGCCCGTCTATAGATATAAGATAAATAAATATTAAATTGCAAATCTGATAATTTAATACAGAATCTGCAACGCAAGCTGGAAGAACATGGATTAATGCATGACAGGCATTGGGGAGAAGACTCAGCCGCTGACAGCCGGTACCTGCAATCACTGCAAGATTTCATCAAATGTAAACAATCTACATTATGATGAATAAATGTCACAAAATATGAATAATTTTTCCAAAATTTTGGCATACGATGAAAACTAAATATAACCAAAGTCATACACAGCTTAATTTTGAATAAAGGATCTAAATATTAAAGGATATGGTGCCGTATACGGGACTCCAGTGATCGTCCAACCATCCACTTGGGCGATGAAGGAGAGAGTGACAAGCATGGCAGGTCACATGACTGTTTGCGTGGGACAAGGGAGGCAACTCATGGTTGAGAGAACTTTTAGGTCCTCTTCAGGGAACTACTAGGGATTCTAAGTGTTCCACTACCATTCACATGGAAGGAAGAGAAAGCCAATAAGCATGAGTCAGGATAAGGAAAAAAAATAATCTAGTCATATGAATAAAATCATGTGATATTTGACTTCTTTGGAATAATATATTTGACATCTAAGACATGATATTCTCTACTAATTCTGATACTGATAAATTGGAAAAAGTTTAGCTTCTCTATTTTTGTCAAACATCATTTTTACATTCTAATATTCAGTATTGCTTGGGGTAAAACAAACATGGTCTAATTGAATAATAAATATGAGAAAATATCAAATACTTCAGCCGGAAACCATGTATGCAGATAATAAACATAATATTTACACCAATTTACAAATTTCAAGTTAGGTGTATAATGTATCCTATTACATGTATATGGTCTTAAAATGTTGTTTAAGTAATCAATTCAAGCAAATTATCTGTCAAAGTTAGAAACATCCGCTGAAGCTCACCTGTGAAGCCAGTGCTGCCACCACATTCACTAGAGGGTAGTGAGACAGGGCGCGTGGCCTCCATCCTGTGTCGTGGGGAGCAGGTTGAGCTTGAGCAGGTGTTTCCTTACTTCCAACACAGCATGACACATGACAGACTCACGACACTTGCACTGAAAAACAACAGGAATAAATCTGAGGTGAGGTGAGGTGAAATTGGGTTTTACATCGTGCTTGAGAATATTTCGCTCATATGACGACATGCATGCGTGTGTATGTGTATGTGCGGCTGCTTGTACTAGCCCAGACTTAAGCTGGTTTTATAGTGCTAGCCCACTGAGATACCATGCGGCAGTGAAGCATGAATACCCCACTCAGACACATTATACTGACTCCGAGCCGACCAGTCCTTGTTGTACCCATTAATGCTGAGCGCCAGACAGGGACCAACAAGTACCATATTTTAACGTCATTTGGTATGACGTGGTTGGGGATCGAACCCACAACCTTCCGCTCTCCGCGGGCGGACGCTCTAACCACTACACCACGGAGGCGGTCGGAATAAATCTCACACAAAACAACCCTGTACCAGTGACAGGAAGGGATTGAGTATTACTCTCATGTTTCTTTTGTCTTCTTGATACGAGTTCGGGTGAAAGTGAGATATCGTCACAGTATGGTTCTTGAATGATTTAAATCAAACTTCTTGGGACTGCCAAATGGCCAGAGTCATGCTCCCTTTAACATATTTAAGGTTCTATAAGCTGTTCTTCACAGTATGAATAATACTAAGGCTAAATACTACCATTTGAGCCTTATCAAAAATTCCCCACTCACAAAAATATTTTTAATACACAAAAGGATATTGGTTTTCTAACAAATAAAATACTCATGTTTCCCTTGTTGTTAGCACCTCTGATGGTTGTCATGTATCTGTGAAGGAAGCACAATGAAAACATGTTCCAAAAAGGTCCCAAACATTCTGTACTGACTCAGAGCCAACCTGTCATTAATGCAAAACATGATATCTTTGAAACCAAAGTGTGTGTAACTGACCTTGACATGTTTCTCCAGCTGGGAAGGGTTAAAGTTCATCTCCATGTGGACTGCGTCCAAGTCCAACATCCACAGTGGAATACACACTCTGCCGTCTCTCTCACTGCATGTCTGGAGAGAGACTCACACACATCATTAAACAGAAATACATGAATCCTGTTTTGCAACAATCATCTTATACAGATATGAGGTCCTAATTACTTTATCTGGGAATTTGTTTGTTTTTGCCATGTGTGATTCAATCTCACTGATACTGACTGATTAAATTCCATGATTGACAAGTGTGTGTGTGTTGTGCATGTGCAGGACAAAACTTCTGCCCACATCCCCACTTAAATTTCACTTTGCAAGGCTAACCCTAACCCGATGATTTAATGTCTGTATGCACAAAGTCATTTTTAAACTTATGTTATGGCTTCTTGTCAAATCATTGTATCTGAATATAAATATATCTTTTTCATTATCGTTAAAATTTCGGGGGATACGGACCGAAGTCTTACCCATGTGCATGCAAGACAGCATGCAGCCTTTAACGCCACACTCAGAAATATTCCAAGGATATTCCTGCCAGCCTGTAAATAACTTAATCTGGGTATTTGAGTATTTCCCAAGTAATCCCCCCTTCTGGAACTAACCTGATAATTATCTCTGTGTCAAATTATGTTGAATAGCATTAAATTACATTTATACCTTTTGTCATGTTATTTAACTGTAATTTTATTGTTTATCTTACAAAAATTGTTAGTTAAGATAATTTCATCTTGCTTCCTCAGCATGCTCAAGATTTCCTTTGTAAATCAAGGGAGGTAATTTTGCTTCAAACAGTTTCATAGTCTTTCCACATCAAAATCAGAACTGTGACTATCATTTTCTTGAAATGCCAACATAACCAGAAAAACCACTGACAACACTACATCAAATATAAACGAGCACAAAGAATAGATCGAAACTTGTTCATTTCCAGATCTGGCTGACACTTTGATAAACCAAAGCAATATGATTAAATATAAGCTATAAGCTTCCCTATTCCTCCTGTGAACCTGTTTGTTTGTTGTTCAACACCACACTCAGCAATATTCCAGCTATATGGTGTCTCTTGTGAACCTACAATACATTGCACACACATAAACAACATTCACACTTCCAGGTATGTCCATGGAATAATCGACCGCCTCCGTGGTGTAGTGGTTAGAGCGTCCGCCCGGAGAGCGGAAGGTCGCGGGTTCGATCCCTGACCGCATCATACCAAAAGATGTTAAAATATGGTACTTGTTGGTCCCTGCCTGGCGCTCGGCATTAATGGGTACAACAAGGACTGGTCGGCTCGGAGTCAGTATAATGTGTCTGAGTGGGGTATTCATGCTTCACTGCGGCATGGTATCTCAGTGGGCTAGCACTATAAAACCAGCTTCAGTCTGGGCTAGTACAAGCAGCCGCACATACACATACACAAGCATGCACGTCGTCATATGAGCGAAATATTCTCAAGAACGACGTTAAACCAAATTTCACCTCACCTCACCATGGAATAATCATGTATTTGTCAATGCTAACCTCTCTGCGTGGTGTATCAACAACATCCACAATAGCCAGACTGAAGGAAGAGTCAGCCATGTTGGTTAGGAGAACCGCCTCCTGTAGGACATGCCTCTGCTCAGATGACAGGGAGGAATACGGGACAGTCACTGATTCCTTCATACGCTGCTCGGTTAATGCTGAGCTGAGGTTGTTGTAGCGACCAGATTTGATCAAGAGCTTGATTATGGTGTCATTACAAAGCACAACCTGCAACATGAGCATGGAAACATTTGAAATGATTGTTACTAGGGCTGTGCAATATAACCGGTTTACCGGTATTTACTCGTTCAGACATGAAAACAATACGTATTGCGAGACGCTGATCGAAAACCGGTATTTTGACATGCATTCGGAAAACCTCGTAACACTCGGAAATCTTGATAATCCTGGCAATTGTGGTAATGGTAGTGGGAATGATCATGTTGAAAATTACATTAAACTGGCTTGTTAAGTTGGGTTTGAAGTTGTGTTCTTAGTATTTGTTCAAGCGTTTCGCAATGTTTTGGATCTGAGTGTTTTAAAAATGTACTTATTAATGACCAGTGATCTCTGATATCTCCTGACCAGGTCAAGTTGCTGTCATTTTTATTTTGTCATCATTAAAAAGTTTATATTAAATAATCAAGCATAGTGATTTTGTTGTTGTTTTGCTTTAAACTCGATTATAAGAAGTATTTTGTTAAAAAATTCTTCCTGCAATATATTGCAATACATATCGCAATATATGCTTTCGTATCGCAATATATCGCAATATGAAAATTCTCTGCAATACCCACCCCTAGTTGTTACATACAGACAATAATTGTGTCTTTCTCCCACATTTGGTTTTGTAACGACAGGACAGAACTGCGAAACTCCTCATTAAACTATCACACAGATGGTACAGATATCAGTGAAAATGTTCTGATGAAAAAATTATTGTATTAACCATAATTACCAGGTCATGATAAGCAATCTCTGACAGTTGTATAGTAGTAAAGTAATTTGTACAATAAATAAAAATAACTATCATCATTATTGTGTACTGTTCTGATTTTTCCAAAACATTTATATACACTTTGGTTTTGCTGCAATGCCCAGCATGTAAATAATCGAGGCTGATCTGGAAAAAGCAGTGATTGGTATTTTAAGCAATGTCCCACAAGATGACTATAGTCCGCTTGTTGCAACATTGTTCACATGAATTGCCAACTAAATATACATCTGAAAGCAACAACATGTCGTAAATGACATGAAAGTAATTTATTTGTCAATACCAACCATTTCAGACATTGCCATGAGGTAGAGAAAAAGTTCTTTAACAAACTATCATGAAATTGTTGGTGTTTTAATGGCTGTTGTAACAAGACAGTATACAATGTAAAGGACACTACAAACACATGGACACAAGGTCCTCAGACTACCACCCCATCATTGTGACCTAAACCCAAATGGAACTTCACTCTAAGAAGGGCGAAGCTATATAAAATTCAAACTATCCAGTGTGGAGAAGCTGGTAAGAAATAATTTAGACAGTATTTGTAAAGAAACTTGGTAAAATGCATTGAAAATGTTAAGACTGGAATGAAAGATTTGGATATGAAAGGAGATGGTTTAAATCATGCAACCACCAGTCAAATTCTCATTTCAGCTGACAACAATTTCATGATAGTTTGTTTAACAGTTTGTCATGACAATGTCTGTAAATATGGTAAGGAGTTAGTACATAAACACAACTTAGATGCCATTCAGGGGGCAGTGGGGTAGCCTAGTGGCTAAAGCATTCGCTTGTCACACCAAAGACCTGGGTTCAATTCCAGACATGGGTACAATGTGTTAACCCATTTCTGGTGTCCCCCGCCGTGATATTGCTGGAATATTGCTAAAAGCTGTGTAAAACTCAACTCACTCACTCACTCACTCATGCCATTCGGGTTTGAGTAGTTGCTTTCAGATGTATTGTATCCATCGTATTACAAGCCTTGCATTGCTTCCAATATTTATTCAGGAATGTTTACAATCTGCATTAACATGGTAGACTGTTGGCAAACACATGCTCTATAGATATCGCATGTGAAGTCCATGCACGTGCACGAAGCACACATAAACAGAGTTACCTCCCCTGACCAGTATGCACCTGCATAGCAGATATACCACAGGATGCAGAGATATTTGGCATTATATGTCAGTGAGAAACTGAGTGAGTATGGTTAATGCCAAATTTAGCAGTACACCAGCAGTATCAGGAGGTGGACACAAGAAATGGGCTTCACACATTGTACTCATTTGCAGAATCAAACCTAGGCCTTTGGCGTGACAAGCAAACACCTTTACCACTGGGCTACTTCACCTCCCTATTTATTGTTATGCAACAAGCAGTACACTGACCGTCTTGTGCAACTCGTCCCTCACAGACTGAATGTCTGTTGCCTCTGTGTTGTTCAGGACTGGGAA